ACACACCCGAACGACGCGACCCCGGGAACGGAGGGGCTTTTTTTCCCCGTCCCGAACCATAGGGATTGGTGAGAAGGTCCGGACCCCGCAAAATATGAGGGTACCGGCCCCGGTCCCGGTCCGGGTCAAACGGGTCGGCGTCTGGGCAGCTGGGTTTGACCTTGTACCATGTTGTCGCCAAAAACTATAGCTTCCTAATGCCTAACACACACCAAAGACCCTGGCTTGTGTCAGGCATCTGTTTTTACGACCTACTTATAGTGACTTCCTGTAACCGTTATAAGTCACGCCGAACGAACCGTATTTCTGTGTCCTTCACCCGGATTTGGCTTTCTCTGTCAAGAGGGGATTCCCACCACGCATCGCCTGACAAACACCGACTCAGGTCGGTGCTGCAGCTTGGGGCATGCGATGCGATGCGCGCGAGGCGGGTCTGGCGGCCTGCTTGGCGCGTTCGGCCTCTTTGATGGCATATTTCGTCTCCGCCTTGGCCTGCACCACCTGGGGGAGAGGGAGAAAGCGACAACACGCTCTGTCGAACATCCGAAATCCGAGAAGGGGAAGGGTCCTTGGCCTGCACACGAAAGAGAGGGAAGAAGAACAAGAGCGAGCCGACTGCTTTCATCCCAGAATTCGTTGAAGGGACACTTAGTGATACTTTCATGTTTGTTTTTCACTCCCAAAACTATGTTTTCTTTTTTTTTCCGTAGAGTTGCCCCATTCTGGAATCCAAGAGCCAACGGAAGACATGTCAAACGAAGCCCGGAAGATCCACAAACAAAGTGTAGAACTATACTTCATGCCTGTAGACATCTGCAGAACTCCATCAAGTTGCATCGTTTCAAGCCATAGGTACTTAGTTTGGCTAGCTCATGAACTCAGTCACTGGCCTTCTCAGTGGTTTCCCAGATCTTCCTCTCATCATTTTGGAACTTCTTCTCAGCCTTCACTTGGAACTCCTTCCTCAGATCACATGGTGTCGTGCACATGTAACAAAGGGCATCGCTACGAACGGAGCGATCGGACGCTACTAGTAGCTCCTGGCATTTCTACGAGTAGCAAGAAGCTCTTAGTAGCAAGGTGCATCGCTACGAACGGAGCAAGGACGCTAGAACGATCAGCATCTTTCATGAACAACACCCCAAGTTGGAACACCGATCTGGTCCTATCATCCAAAGTCTGACATGACAATCCGATGACAATCCGATACCGTCATGAACACAATATTTACATCTTCGTCTCATGTCTCATCACTGAATGCATGGGACAAATCTGTCCAGCCCAAACTCTCTCGCGCCGGAACCTCCAGCAACTCTCATTGCTTGGCACACGTGGAACTTTGAGTGAACCTTTTGAGCGCAGCACATGGTTTTTGGACGTCCAGGCGTCGACTTCTGCTTGATGAGTGTCTTCTCCTTGTGGCTTTCCTGCACATCAGAGGTTCCTTTTTCATCCTTTTTCCACGCAACCCCTGTATATCACGGCTCTTCTACTGACTGAAGCTTTCCGGGCACCAATTCCCTGCATCTTGGGCCCCCCCAAAACCACCTTAGACCTCCGGTCTCGACCGGAAGCTCACCCAGCTCACCCCCGATGTCTTGTCCGAAACCCGGTTTGGTGTCATCAACCCCAACTGATTCGGCCCAGACATGGCAAGTTCCACTCGAGTGGAAGCTGTGTTTCGACCTCGAACGTGCCTCCAAGTCGGTTGAGAGCTTGGTGATGTGAGTGTCCTTGCCTCAGCACAAGCGATTTCCTTTCGCCTCGCAGTTCTGCTTGGTTGCTGCGATTGAACAAATACCTGAAGGGTGGTGAGTGCGCCCCGGCCTTCACACAACATGAATAATGTGCACTCCGTGAGTTAGGAGAAGGCGAAGAATGCAACAGAATTTCGGGGATGGTGTTAACAACTCTCTGTAGTACCTAGTCTATGGTCAACAACATTCCTTCACCGTTTGTGTGGGGCGGCCGTGTGCGGCCGATTTTGTGCACCGCTTGGCTTTCCAAAAAGGGATCTCACATGTCCATCTCATGCGCTTTTGGGCAGGTGTTCAACATCAGACCCAGTTAACAATATCAAACCCAAACGAGAAAGCCACACTACTTCGAAAGGTCAGCGGTTTTTTTTTTGCTGGGCAAACTGGTACCATTGAACAGGGCAGTCAATAGCATACCTCAGTCACCTGACTTCGAGAAAATGGAAGGAACCAGTCATGGTATGCTACTGCAGTTTCCCCATCACCAAGTTAAATTGCAAATTGCCACTTGAAAGTTGAATTGTGCCAATTGCCAATTGAACATTGAAAAAACATCAATGAAAAGCAAATAGCAGCAGTGAGCAAGAAGGCCGGGCAAGAGTAGCAGCGAAAAGGGAAACACTTGGTGTACTTTTGGAGGGCTCGACTGTTACAGCTAATAGGCACGACCCAAAAGATATACCTAGATCCTCCAACTGTGCAACATTTATGCCTTTTTATCCATAAAACCCATTTTGCAAAGTCGGAAGATCTAGGTATGAGGTACTGACGATGAAGCATCTTACTTCAGCAGCCTAATGGGAAAGTCATGGCCAAAATAAACCACACAGAAAACACACATCCTGGCAGGCAAGCGGCACCGAAGTAGCTATGGGTGTCCAAACATCATTGCTCCGCCCATGATCGAGGACCCTTCTGGGAAAATCAAGATTGACCATCGACCCGCTGTTTGCGGAGTTTGGGAACAACATGGAACAGCCCCTCCCCTTCAAATCAATTAATAATTCCCAGACACTCCATGTATGGCATATATGCGTACATTGACCCCCAAACCACCCCAATGTAGGCATATATGCCAGTCCCATGGAGTGTCTGGGATTAGCAAGCCTCTCTGGGGATCCAGGATGAGTACGCCACAACCAAAATCATCCAACGAAATGATGATTCTCCAAATGTCATTCTCACTGGCAGATTCTGCAGATTCGCAAAGCAACCCTTTCATGGGTCTCCAGATTTCTACTATCACTCACTCACCACCGGGGTTTATGCGAAAAAATAAAGGTCTGCGAAAAAAAAAAAACAAACTCTCACCCGAAGCAAACCATCACACATCATCACACCCTGTCCGAGAAGCTCTGGAGACTCACTTCCAACTCCTTCAGCTCCGCAGCCAACTTGTCGTTCTCGCTGGTGGACTGCTCCAGTTGCTTCGACAGCTTCTTCTCCTCGTGCGGCTGAAGTGGCTGAAGGGAACTGATCCACCGACAGAATCCGACAGACGTGCCATCCATGGACAAAACAACATGCACGCAGAGGGCCTCAAAAAGCATCAGGTGTCAACAAAACCATGTCAAGACTTCCGCAAGCATGTCAAAAGGTCAAACCATGTCAACAATTCATCATGGTCTGACCTTGATTTGACATGGTTTGACAAAAAAACCACCTCGGTGTAAATCAGTCAAACCTTGGAAGTCTTTTTGTTGACATTATTTTTCCAAGGTCCTCGGGTCTCCGATCTCAAGACTTCTTGGTGGGATTTCACGATGCTCTGCTCTGGCTTCTTCAGGATGATATGAACACTCACAGTAATCTCAGCCAAAACTGATGTCTCATAAAATCTGAGTTCCTCTCATCCGGTTCTCTTCTCAGCGCCACTTCTTTTGGTTGAGACACACCCAAATCTAGACTGGACAAGTACAGTTTTTTTGGTGAGTCCAGGCCGAACTCAGCTTGTGCAACCATGGCTCGTTCTCAGCAACCACCTCCAGCTGACCTGCACATGTTCTCGGCCCCGGAATGCACATCATGATGCTTCTAGTCCTCTCTAGTTCTCCACAATGTCACTGACTTTTTTTTGAAGTCTCCCTCCCAAACACTCCTTGGGACTGGAAGATATGCCACCCCAGAAAGACCCATGAAATCAATCACCCCAATTGATTCGGCAGATATTCCAGTTCCGTTTCAGGGTCTGGGTCCTGGTTCGCTCACCTGTTTAATCTCCTGAGCTTCCGACTGATGCGATCCAGGAGTTGTTTGTTCTCGGCCTCCAGCTTTGTCATGCCGGTCTCCAAATCCTGCAGCGGTCTCTAAAGGGGTACTGCAAGGCTGTGAGACTCTGGGAACCACAATGTTTTGGTGAGAAAAACCTTCAATGTCGACGATTGGCGGCACATCCCTTTTTGGGACCAGATGGGAGCTTTTGGTGGTTCTGTTCAGACCACCAAAGCTTTTGGATGCTTTTGGGCACCCATCACCCTCATCCTTGAAAGAATGAAAAACACTGTGAAGGGTGGGGCTACCCAAATCACCGTGGTTCTTTCCTGACTTGCCCATTTTGCAGGTGACCACATCAGAATCACTTGGTGGATGAAGTTTGACTGTAGCCATCACACACCACAGCTGCTGCACGCCTTACTCTTGGCTGCGAACTTCTCCATCATGGACTTATAGTTCTGCTCGCGTCCTGCGGTGAATCAGCTAGCGTTTGACGAAATCAAGGGCGACATGAAAAAAAACGGCCAAAAGCCACAAACTCCAACAACCCCTCATGATTCACCCGGTAGTTCTTGTGTCTCTCTCTCTCTCTCTCTCTTTGAGAGATCTTCGGTGCACACCGGTTGTTTTTTTTTTCCAGATCGCCTTGGGTTGCTTCTTTTTGCCAGCAGAGCAGCTGCTGCCCACTGTGAGAACAACATGTGAGTCGTTGCCAGTCCAATGATCTTCGCATATGTTCCAGGTCTTTCGAAAGAACAACACCTCTGTTCAGAACGGCAAATCCTGCACTCGAAAAAGCACAGCACACAACCCATGTCGCAACAACACGTGTTGTTGCCTCAATGCGCAGCACACGGGTGTGTAGCTGATAGATGGGAGACCTGTGGTTCCGACCCCCCCTGGAAGAATGACCACAACCCATTCCCAGACACGACTAATGGGACTGGCATAGGACTGTCGATCAGTTGGGGTGGTTTGAGGGCCCAATGTAGGCATATATGGCAGTCCCATGGAGTGTCTGGGCATTGGGCCACGGTGTCTCGCTATTTGTCTATTTCAACTACACCCGTCAGACACGTCTGAAGCCGTCTTCCAGAGCCGTCGCGACAAGTGATCTCCTTTGGCCACCTCTGCTGCTTGCTTAAGGACCTCCGTCTCTTTCTTCAGAATGGCACCTGGATGACCAGTGATCTGGTGGTAGAAACATTCGGTTGGGTAATGCAAACCTGCATGTCCAAGGTTTGGACATGGAAAAGGCAATGAAAGGCAGGGTGTTCTTGTGAAATATCATGATCATCGATTGTCATGGCCATGTCTTCTCTTCTTCTCTTCTTCCAGTGCAAGGCTCGCCTGCTTAGTCGATCGAATGATCGAACGATCAACCTAAAGAGTTTGATCCTCCAGGACCACGGAGGACCACGGACGGTCGTTCGGGTGGTGACCGTGGACACCCCAGCCGCATACATATATATACGATATATATATATATAATACCAGTGCATCCCAGTTACCAATTGTTATTTAAGGAACCAGGGATTCTAGGTCTATGGCTTTAGTCTTTGGAACCACTGGTTACCAGCTGTATAGTGTTTTGCCTGGATGCCCTGGGTATATATGTTAACCATCATGGAACCCATCCGAGAAAACCACCCCGAACTCTGTGGTGCTGGAAGAGATGGAATTTCTTTGTCCTATTTCGCACACAGGACCTGCTTCGAGGTTCCAGGTTCCAGGCCCTACTTTCCCAGGCCTTATAGGCTAGCAGAAAACCCACTGAGCTCGCCCCTCCCTGCCTTCTTCCATCACTTTTTGCAGCTGCTTGTTGAGCGCCTCATTCCACCGATGCGTTCGCGGCATCGACCGCTCGTCGCCGGACCGGTGGAGTGGTGACCGGTGCTGACCGGTGACGGTCTTTGGCTCCTTTCCTAGGATCGATCTATATGTCCCAGACACGACCCGTCTGGGACTGGCATAGGACTGCCGAGAAACGGCCAGGGGTGGTGGTTTGGGGGGGTCAATGGGGTGGCATAGATGGCAGTCCCATTAGTCGTGTCTGGGTGTCCTGACGCGTCTGAGGTTTGCGGAAGAGACCGGAACCTGTTTCTCAGGCATGGACCGAAAGACCCAAACACTCCACTCCACCCAAGCTGAAGGTTCACGCCATCAAAACCTCCTGCGAGTTCGCCCGAAGTCGAGTCCCGCCGAAGCGATTCCTGCACAGTCGACCGAAGAGTCGCGCCTCGATTTTGGCTTGAGAGTCAACCAGGTTCTGGTCCAGGCCTTGAACCTAGCGGAGCGATGATCAGGTGGTTTCTCGGGTGGTGATTCGGATGGGAAGGGATGGGGAATCATTGGGAGATATCCTGGTAGGTGCCAGGACCAGGCGGAAGATCGACGCAATCAGCAAGGCAACAAGTTGGTGCATGGGCATGGCCGCCGGGGTCTTACACATACAAACCCAAAGGCTCGTTGCATCTTCACACATCTCTGCACCAAGAAATGTTCTGGTGAGGGTTGCTCCGACGGGCGTCGCGCCTCTGGTAAAGCCATTGCTTGCTTGATTCATCAAGACATCCCTGGAGCCTCCAACAGGTGTTTACTTAGTGAAGTTCAGAAAGATCCAAACTCAGATTCCCTCCCAAAACGACTCCCACCGTTCAACGCCTCGTTCTCCCCGCCCAACCCTTGCACTTCGACCGACCTTTCCACACATCCCACCCGTTCCACTCTTCCACACAACCCCACACCCGTTGTTTGACACGACCCCTTCCCTCCCAGCAATGCGCCACGCGCCTTCTCCTTGAGTGCCGCGTTCTCCTTCCGAGACTCCTTGAGATCGGACAGCACCTGTCCCGTCTCCTTGCGCGAGGAGGTCAGCCTCGGGCGAAGTGACGGGGCGTCAGGGCCCAATTGGACCGGACAGAGGTGCTTTGGAAGCCTCCAGAAGCTGCCGAGGTCGGTGGTTTGGGAGCGTGGAAGCCCATGTGAAGGAGCCCAAAAGACCAAAAGAAAGCCGGTTGAACAGGATGATTCCCGTGAGACACACGGTGCCCGGATGGTGGGTGAAGTGGCACATAGGCCTTTTTGATCTCCCACATGTGCCCCTTGAGTTGAATGGTGCTGGATCGCTTGGGTTGAGCAGTTACTGCTTGCTGCTATCCAGCTAGAGCCCAGACATGAGTCCTGTTTCGATAGGAAAAGGCATGAAAAGGCCATATGGGGTCCCACATTATTCATGGTGGGTACTCCAAAACAGGGGTCACAAAAAGGCTGAATGTCCGTGCGACGTTTTCAGAACCTTTTGCAACTTGGACTCAGTTCCCCCTCCAAAGCGCCATCTCCCAAGCGCCGCCAGTCGCGTGCTAGGCCAGCGCCGCCCTACTAGGGCTCTCCTCACGGAGCTCACGTTCCTTCGGTCTCTCCCAGGGAAGGACTGCCCTAAACATCTTCGAAAAACCCATTGACCCGGAGTCACGCCAGTGCTCGACGGGGTGCCACATCCACGAGCCAAACAATGATCGACTTTCTGCCCCCCCAAGCGACGCTTCTTCGACTCCCGCCAGCTCCGTCTTCAGCTTGGACTCCTCGCCGCGGCCGTTTTGCCGGGGGGTCGCCGGGGCGTTGTTCGGAGCTGGGGATTTCTTGGGATGGGGCCTCATGGGGGGCATCCAAAGGCCAACTGATTGACAATCCCCTATAGGATGATTTACCGGAAAGCATTCTTATGTGTTGTTAGTCCCAAAATTGTCCAAAGGGTATAGTTTCGTACACTCCAAACAAACACAATGTTCACAAACTCGAGTAGCGTCCTTGTTCCTAGTAGCGATGCCCGGGTTCCTAGTAGCTTCTTGCTCCTATGGTAGTAAGGCCAGGAGCCCCTAGTAGCGTCCTTGCTCCTAGTAGCGATGCCAGGAGCCCCTAGCAGCATCCTTGTTCCTAGTAGCGATGCCCGGGTTCCTAGTAGCTTCTTGCTCCTAGTAGCAAGGCCAGGAGCCCCTAGTAGCGTCCTTGCTCCTAGTAGCGATGCCCGGAACCCCTAGTAGCGTCCTTGCTTTTTCTGCTAATCATCTCATCCTCCCCTTTAGATTGGCTCGGCAGAGCCGCGGTCCTTCTTGGAAGCAGCTTCACGCTCTGCCTCGCCAAGGACTCCCAGTGATGACTCAAGGACTCACACCCGTTTCAACAAACTGTGCCGTTTCAACAAACGCACAAGCAACCAACCACAGGACCACAGCGCCATCGCAACATGATGGAAACACAGTACGTCATGTCATGTCTATCCCTATTTACAGAAAAATGACACACATATACTTCTCATTACCTCTCACAACCAGTTCGAACCTACCCCATTTTCTACCCCCTATAGCACCTCTTCACACAGACACACAGACACACTCTGACACTTGTATTCAGTTAACTCAGTTACCACGGTGGGAAGGATGGCGGTGGAACAGCAAGGTGAAATGTCCAGGCATTTGAAGGTGTTTGAACATAATTGTTTCAATCGCATGACTGCAGCGGCAAACTCAAAGTCAGCGGAAAGCGGCTGAAGGAAGCTGGTTTTGGGGACTAGCATGTGAAACCACCATGAATCAAATCGTAAGTGGAAAAGCTTGAGCAACAGTTTCTGGTGCAGGTACGTCAGCAAGCGTCCTTGCTGATATCCTCAGGACACTGCAGAGAGCTTTGTTAAGTGGAGCTCTGCAGGCCTGCTCCACTCCCCTGCCTGTAGAGGGTGGTTGAAAAAGGTGGTTGAAAAACTGTGGAAGGAGTAGCGGTGGAAAACCCTTTGTCCAGGGGTGGACACACACAGGTCGCCGGCTTCGGCGCTTTTCCAGCGCGCATGTGAGAAAACTAAATAGTCACCTAAAAAGCCTTAGAAACAAAAGGAAAGAAAGACAGAAAGAGCAGCGCTAAGAGGGGAAGAAAGAAAGATAGGTGTAGTTACGAGGCCCACTAGTTACAAAACCTTCTAGTTACTGACTACCTAGCACTCTAGTTACTGAATACTTAGCCCTTGACTTGAGGGAACGGAAAGAAGTGCTGGGTCCGAACAACAGAAGGTTTCAACAAGAATTAGTTACTGACTACTTAGCAGGTCTTAATTAGGTGCAATAGTTAGGGAGCGGGACTTTAGTCTTAGACCGCCCGGGTAGGAAAGACTAGAAAAGGAACAACACAGGGAAAGGCACCGACACACAAGTGTGTCGAGTACCATTTCCCTATGTTGCCCCAAATAGGTAGGGAGTAGAACTCAGCGGGGGGGGGGTTGGGGAACCTGCCTCATTGGGGGTTTTGCAATGCACCGTTTTATAGCCCGGCGGCTGTCTAATCCGAAAGCTGGTGGAAGAGAAAGTTACCGTGTTTAGGCCCGGCGGCCGATGCAGCTGTTGATTCAAAGGGTGTGTCAATGACTTCCAGTGGAAATCCGGTGAGAGGTGGCATGTTGGGTTGGTTGCTTACCGACGTGAAAAACCGCGCCCCTGTGACGGGGATCACACTCAGCACCCGAGTGGGACGGCTGAGCGAAACACACTCTGACACTTGTATTCAGTTAACTCAGTTACCACGGTGGGAAGGATGGCGGTGGAACAGCAAGGTGAAATGTCCAGGCATTTGAAGGTGTTTGAACATAATTGTTTCAATCGCATGACTGCAGCGGCAAACTCAAAGTCAGCGGAAAGCGGCTGAAGGAAGCTGGTTTTGGGGACTAGCATGTGAAACCACCATGAATCAAATCGTAAGTGGAAAAGCTTGAGCAACAGTTTCTGGTGCAGGTACGTCAGCAAGCGTCCTTGCTGATATCCTCAGGACACTGCAGAGAGCTTTGTTAAGTGGAGCTCTGCAGGCCTGCTCCACTCCCCTGCCTGTAGAGGGTGGTTGAAAAAGGTGGTTGAAAAAACTGTGGAAGGAGTAGCGGTGGAAAACCCTTTGTCCAGGGGTGGACACACACACACACACACACCTTGATGGTCAACCAATGACATCGACCTTCGCAAACACCTCTCGCTGCAGTCCGCCGCGCCTGCATCTGTTTGTCCAGCTCCCTGGGCGGAAGAAGAGCCGACGATCCGACCCCGGACTCGACGCGACGCGACGAAGCAACTGCTTCGCTTGGGGAGGTGAGTGGAGGAACGTCCGAAGTTGGGAGCTCCAACTTGGGACACCCCAAGTTGGAAACGGCTTTGGAGACGCCAAAACAGTGCGGGTCAGATTCGCTGCAAGAGAATGTGTAGATTCCCATGCGATCGTATTACCATGCAGTAAACCCCTCCCTCCACATCAGGTGAACAGAATCCAAGGACTTCCAGCTGCTTCGTTCGCTGCTTCGTTCGTTTGGGTTTTCGTCGTATCCGCTCCTCACGGTGACCGAAAGTTCTCGCTGCTTCTCTTCCAGCTTGGCCAATTCCTCCTGAACAGAAACTGGAGCTGTTGCGCATGTAGACCAACATGTTCAATCAAAAGACACGGGACACGTTTTTTCTGAAAAAAAGCGCCTGGGAATCACCACAGATCATGGGTTTTCTGATGTTTTCTGCAAATGGCGAATGGATGCGAGTGGGCCTAAGGACCGCTTTTGGCTGTTGTGTCCTGCTTCTTCTTGGCCTCTTCTTCGGCCGCCTTTCTCTCCTGCTCATTCAGATCCTTCTCTTCCCTAAGACCAGCAACTGGCACATGGAATCTACATCCCTATATGGATCCACATACCTGCTGAGAAGGTGATTGGAGACTATTTATGTAGGCTTGGAGGGTCCAATGACCTTCTGAGAAGGTATGTGGATGCATAGGGTATAATTGATCCAAGTCCTCCAACCATTGCCTTACTCCCTTTGCTCGAAAAAGGTCACACATTCGGGCAACCCTACCCCCCTCCATGGTCGATGTTGCATGGCTTTACTCCATGTTCTCAGCGCAGACGCTGTTCTTCGCTCCGCTTTCCCAGCGACGCCAGCGTCGACCGACCAAGGGAGTGTCCAAAACAAGGAGACGACCATGTCCAGTCTGTTCAGGGACCAGTTTTACTCAGTTCCTCCAACATCAGGCGCGCGCCGGCCGCTGGCGCGCACCCGCTGCGATGTTGGGTTTCGCACCCCAGCCGCTGGGAGATCCGAAGTGCCCTCCCACTCGGAACAGCCGTTCCATCTGTTTCTCCACACGACTATGATCATCTTCAAACCATTCTTCGGGCCCCGCATGATGTGCCCACCCCCCGGCCCGCTCCGTGAAAACAGCCCGCGGCGCAAAAACGGTCCCAAACCCCTCCCTAGGGATCCAAGTACCTCCTCAAAAGGTACTTGGACCCTCCTGGCACCCACCCCAGTCTCACCTTCTCACAGGGTACGACTGGATCCTTATAGTAGGGCCTATGAGTTAGCTGCCTATATATGAGGCTCCAACTCCTCCGGCTCGGCTCCCACCGGGTCCGACGCCGACCCGGGTGGCGGCCGAGCAGCTTGAGCATCTCTTCCAGTCGTTGCACGTCGTTCCGCAAGGCTTCCCGATCCACCTCCCCCGTCCGCCACGGCTCAGAAACGACGCGGAGAGCGAAAAGAGCGGAGAGCGGATGGCAAAGACGGGCAGAGATGGAGGCTGCTCAGGGGTCTGAATGGGAGGAGTGCTGACATGATCTATAGACCTGACGAACTGATGGTTCGTGTCGAAGGTCAAAACTGGATTGGTAGGTGGAGATGTTTCTTGTCGAAAACAGAATCAAAGCCAGGCAGCGCACAGAACCACAACCAAACACACGTATGATGACAACTTATAACCTGTCTAGTTGCTGATTGCTTCCCGCAAAAGAGGATGTTTGCTGACTCCCACCGACGCACCGACGCACGCACCTCCAGCCGAGGAAAAACGGAGGCTCGGCTCCACCTGCAGCTTCTCGTTGGCGAGCTGCGACATCTCCAACTGGTCGCTCACGCTGGTATAGGTCTCCTGGAACCGAGGGTTTTCTCACATCTACTTGACGTCTTCCTTCAAAAGAAAACACAGAAATTACCAAACATGTCCACATAGAACAAAAGGTATGTATACGAAATTATACGATTGCCTACCATGCAGCGAGCATGCATGACATGTTCGACCACGGCTGTTTCGCTTTTGACTGGCTTTGACGCAGTGGAGCTGCAGCAGCAGCTGCGCAGCGACTGCCCAGCTGTCCTGAAGTGCCTCGATCCGATCTCTGAGCTCCTCTCCTTGTCCTGAAATTGGTCATGTGACTTCCGGAGAAAAAAGATCGACAAAGCCTTCTTCTGGATGATCTTTTAAGTTATTTTGAGGATACTACCTTGCATTCTACCAGCATCACTCAAACTCCCTCAACAAGATTGCAGGCTCTTGCCCGCTCTAATTCTGAGTTTGTGTGACTGTGGAGGTTCGCATTCCCATCAGGATATTTCTTCCTTCTTTCAGCTTGGCGCGCCCCATTGGCCACACCGGAGGCTCGTCCAATTGGCCAAACCCAAACACTCCATGGGACTGGAATCTAATGGAATCTATATATGCATACAGATTGACCCCCTGGCACCACCCCAACTGATCGGCAAATCTGGCAGTCCCATGGATCGTGTCTGGGAAAGGACATGTGTTTTTGTTCGATACCAAACTGAGTGCACCACGCACTTCCGCTGCCAGCTGAGCCTCACCGCATGTCAGATGCGTCCGCAAAGGCGCTTCGCTATACCCCATACACTCCATGGGACTGGCATATATGCCGATCAGTTGGGGTGGTTTGGGGGGTCAATGTAGGCATATATGGCATACATGGAGTGTCTGGCTACTGAGGGACACTTGACAATTCCTTCCACTCGACTCACTCCGATTGTGATTTTGTTGAGACCAGGAGCGATCGGACGCTACGAACGGGGCTCCTGGCCCAGGTGGTGTGAAAGACCCTTTTGGTGTCGCTCGCCATGCGTTCGATGCGCATCCGTGGGCCTTGTTTTTTCACCAGTCGACTCCACCGACTTTGGGATGGTGAACTCCAAAGCCAACGATCCGAACCAACTTGACCTGCCTGTATACCTGATACCGATCATCTGGCAACTTCTCTCACTCACCCTCCTCCACCCCGGTGCGAGAGGCGCGCGCACGCCCAGAGCGCGGAAAACAGCGCCCGTCTTTCCACCTCCATCTTCTGCTGCATCTCTTCAGTTTGTCGCTCCATTTCGGCCACGATCTTCTCTTGCCTTCCATCGATGGGGGACCGCGGCACCTCTCGAGGTGTCGCTTGTCCAACCGCGCGCGACCAGCGCGACGCCCAACCTGATCTTCTGTGCCTCGAGTGCTTTCTCCAGCTCAGCCTGCGGTGCGAAATCGATCGCTCACAATCATGCAAGAACGACGCAGCCATCGGCGCACTCACAGAACCATCTAGAAACTGCCCTCTCGGCACAAATCTGAAGCAAAGAGTCTCAGATCTGACAGATAGACGCACCCACCGCGTCGATACGGCTCTTGGAACCTCCAAGAGAACTCGCGCCTCTCGGCTTCCGAAGAACTCGCGGATGCCCTTCAGCGCGGCCTCGCCGCCGTCTTGGCCTCAGCATCGACCGAAGCGCCGACACGGCCGGCCGCGGTCGGTGGATGCCTTCCGGTCGACCGGGGACGGTTGGGGTGCCGGGCTGGCAATGCTCGCCACGTGCCTGGCGGTGAGGCCGAGCTGCTTGGTTTCGATTCTCAGTGGTGTGCTGGGACATATGGCTGACCTACCTGGAAGGTCGTTCGCTACATGTTCTTGGAGCTCCACCTTTTGACCCATCCCCATGTGAATTGGAATCCGGTTCTGGATCAAACCAGGATCGTTTACAATATCTGTCTGCGATGGTTTGCAGTGTTTTGTCTTCATGAGTCTCGAGCTACACTCACGCTGGCAAGGCTGTGTTTGAAGTGAACACGAGTGCGGAGGAGGAGGAGGAGGAGGAGTAGTAGTAGTAGTAGCAGTAGTAGTCGTTGTCGTCGTCGTAGTACAGTAGTATATATATTACATATTGTTGTTGTTGTTGTTGCTGCAGTTGACCTCATTTCCGCTTCGGAGTTCGATGACTCCGATCAAACAGGCCAGAGACTGCATGCTGAGCCGCTGCCCTGGCACATCCTCCTGGGGTGCTGCGTGGTTTGTTCGATCCAAGACGTTTGGGTGCCGGAATGACACAAATCGGGTGTGTATGTTCATAGGGGGGACACCCTGGCCCAATAGGTCTTGCTCGATTTAACCTTCTTCCAGGAGGTGGAACTAGGAGGTCGTCTCCCTACTGGTCTCCCAGTTTTTTCTTAAGAATTTACACTCAAATTGTCTGGAACACCACCTAACGGCCTGGATAAGCCTGGAACAACATGCTGATTGTCGGTTTCAGGACTTCCTACATCAACAGTGTGCCATTTCAGGGGTTTAGCACTCTCGACCACCTCTTGTCAAGAGGTGACGACTTTCTTAAAGGTCGAGCTTGAAAATCAAATGATCCCCACAACTTATGTTTGGAAGGCCAAGCGCCTCTTGCATATTCAATGCGATCTAAAAGGCTTTGAGGCCTTAATCTTGCAGTCTGATAATGTTATTGTCCTGGACCGCTGCTCCACCAAACGGTCTCCATCCCATCAGAGCGGCCTCAGCCTTTGGCGCCGGCTTCTTCTCCTGTCGGTGTCGAAGGTGTCAAGAAGTTCCCTGAGAGTCGGCTTCTTCACCATGCGCCGACTTGTTTGACCGGAGGCAACTCGTGTCACATTCCCAGTGCATCCCAGGCCAACCACTAGGACCAAGGAACAAGGGATTCTAGGTTTTAGTCTTTGGAACCAACTGGTTACCAGCTATAGTGGTAACTGGATGCCCTGGGATTGACAACAGAAGATGTCTGTGCAGGTGTGATGTCTGTCAAGGCCCAGTGCGACTGCTTCAGGCCACTCATTCACATGGCAGCGATTGCGTTGGTTGATCCAATTGCGTTGCCAACTTCTTTTCTAGGAAAACATAGCTGTTCAGGCTGTTCAAGTGTAATTGTTGCACACAAACCTCTTTAAACCCAGTGCCTGGGTAACCACCCAACAGACATGAACAACAAGAGCCTCACCCCCGCCCTTCTCCTCCGGCTTCTTCTCCTCTGGCTTCTTCTCCTCTGGTTTCTTCTCCTCAGGCTTCTTCTCTTCGGGCTTCTTCGGCTTCTTTTCCTCCTTCTTCTCTTCGGGCTTCTTCTCCTCTGGCTTCTTCTCCTCGGACTTCTTCTCCTCCGGCTTCTTCTCTTCCTTCTTCTCCTCTGGCTTCTTTTCCTCCGGCTTCTTCTCCTCCGGCTTCTTCTCTTCAGGCTTCTTCTCCTCCGGCTTCTTCTCTTCAGGCTTCTTCTCCTCTGGCTTCTTCTCCTCGGACTTCTTCTCCTCTGGCTTCTTTTCCTCCGGCTTCTTCTCCTCCGGCTTCTTCTCTTCCGGCTTCTTCTCCTCCGGCTTCTTCTCCTCCGGCTTCTTTTCCTCCTTCTTTTCCTCCTTCTTCTCCTCCTGCTTCTTCTCCTCCGGCTTCTTTTCCTCCGGCTTCTTCTCCTCTGGCTTTTTCTCCTCAGGTTTCTTCTCCTCAGGCTTCTTTTCTTCTTTCTTCTCCTCGGGCTTCTTCTCCTCCGGCTTCTTTTCCTCCGGCTTCTTTTCTTCCTTCTTCTCCTCAGGCTTCTTCTCCTCCGGTTTCTTCTCCTCCGGCTTCTTCTCTTCCTTCTTCTCCTCGGGCTTCTTCTCCTCCGGCTTCTTCTCCTCCGGCTTCTTTTCTTCCTTCTTCTCTTCAGGCTTCTTCTCCTCAGGTTTCTTTTCCTCCGGCTTCTTTTCTTCCTTCTTCTCCTCCTTCTTCTCTGCCTGTGCACTACAGTTCCCCATCCCAAATGTGTTTCCTTTAGAAAGATAAATGCACATGTTTGGCCACTTCAGAACCAGGAATGACATGTTTTGCACATGTTTGTGTCATTCAAATGATGTCGTTTGCCAGGTTTGCCTTCTCCTCTGGCTTGACGGAGTTGTTATTGTTGTTTTCTGCCACCTGGGGAGGTCGAGTCTTGGAGCGACTGGTCTCGCGGTTTTCTTCAAAGCAAGAAACCAGAATCCACAGGCAGAAAGAAAATGAAAGAAACCACCACATGTAAAACATGGACAGGAAGGACACACACACAACATCCACAACTCAACACAAACACAACTCAACAAACTCAGTAGTGAGTTGAACATCCTTTTCTTCTTCGTTTTTGTCCAAACATGTTTGGTCCTTCTCTTCCATCCAAGCGGCGTTGTTGTTGGACTCCTTGTGGTTGGGTTGAATACCGACCTGATCGGCGTTCCGAACAAAGACGACGCCAACCGACCGGGGGGGTCGTACCACACGAAACAACTGCAGCAGCATGCAGCATGATGTCCTTTTTGCTGGATTTCGTGACCACAAGCTCTGACAACTCTCTCGCTCTGACAACTCCAAGATGAACCGCATGCCTCAAACGCGCCTAATGACTCTCCCTGGAAGAAACATGGAAGTGGACAACCACCTGTCTTCTCAGGGGGCATTCTCCACTTCCATGTTAGTTCCAGGGAGTGTATATATATATATGACTTGGATTTGCTACTTGGCTTGTCTTTCGTGCGGGCGGAACGCATGCGGAAGCCGGTGAAAACCACGGAACGCCCCCGAAGATCTGACCTCGCGATGAGGGGATCGAACCTCCTTTCCTCTCGTTTCGAAGCGATACGTACCCTACACACCTCCAGTCGTACCTCCTCAGGCTCCGTCTGACCCGACAGGAGGCACCCGGGCCCCCAGTCCCAACCTTCTCCGGTTCGCCACGACATGGAGCCCTATAGATGCCGTCTTGCCGTCTCCCCCCACCCCTCCGTCTCCGGCGACGTAAGCCGTCACGTCGCCGGCGACGCGGGTGTCTCGCCTGGTCGTCCTGCATCATCTGCGACCGGGCCGACGGATCAGCACCTGGTTTTCGGAGCGTTCGGAGCGAAACGAGCGGAACGATGGCGCAGCGGTGATCGTCTAGACACAGCGCGGCGGCCGAGGCCGATCTTCCTCCCACCCGGCCAGATGTGTAATAAAGTTCTGAAGGTGTTGCACCAGTTGAGCTTACTGGCATTCTGGAGGACTCATTGAAGTCTTTCAAGAGATGAATCCACTCCAGGGTCACCCGAAGAAGGACCTTGGGATGGAGCTGCTCAGGTTGGAAACACGAAAACGACAGATGTTGGGATTCAAGGTTTGACCACAAAGGCTCATTGGACCCTCAGTTCGCTAGGGTTTGACCCTCACAGCCAGGGTTTTGGACCGAAGCAACATGTAGCTGTTGCTTCGGGTCCAGAGTCACCTCTGGGACTGAAGATATGGATCTCTCAGACTTGGTCCAGTCTTCTCGGTGACCGCCCGGCCGACCGACCCGATCGCCGCATTTCGTTTTGCCCGACCAAGGTCTTGTGGCGATGGCGCGAGCCACGGCGGGGACAAAGCCAGCCTTTCAGAAACCAGCTGTACTCGCATTCATGACAGTGACATTCTTTGGCAACGATTCGTTTGCAGCCGTCTAGTTTGTACATCTCGAACCTGGTCCCGGAGACAGCAGACACTCTCAAGACTAAAGAACTGCAGGCATGAAAGGCATCATCCCCAATGTGGGTCACAGAGTCCGGGATGGTCAAGTCAACCAAAGAGCTGCAATCCCTAAAGGCTTGAAACCCAATGTGGGTCACTGAGTTCGGGATGGTCAAGTTGACCAAAGAGCTGCAATCCCAAAAGGCACCATCCCCAATGTGGGTCACTGAGTTCGGGAT